CATCGCCGAAATAATTACGGAAAACAATTTTGTTAAGACATTTACTTGTTATCATTTTTCATTAAATATATTTAACATCCTGCTTACCATACTTTTCTTATTCTATCTGAGTGGAACTAAATTTGTCATCATGACAAGATGGAAGCCTGACTTATAAATGAGACCTGAGAAAGTAATTGTTGGCATAATTCAACGTAAGTGAAATCTTACTACGATTGCTACAGCTCAACCTTTTCAATTATTCGTCTCGTGTACACTTCGTTCTACACTATACGTTAACACTCGTAATCATATGGATTGACATCACGCTTTAAGTGAAATGGTAGCAATACACTACTTTTGAATACACTTAATATCATAGGAAATCGAAATCCACTGAAGCGCCTAAGTTCAATTCTTATATTTAAAATACTGAAGTAAGGTGTTTTTGTCATTGATCCCTACAGATTTACCTATGACCAGAAGACGTAATCACGTAACTTTAGGCAGATGTTTAGGCTTGACTAAAGCGCTTATAATTCACCACTTATATCGATCGATAGTGTTCCTACAGAGTTACACCTACGTATAGTAACGAGTTCATATCCTAGAGAGTATCGGTCTGGCATGCCGTACTCCCTCTGCAAGTATATCAAGTAGAACACAAGAATATAAGATAGAAAATTTTATTTCGCTGCAACACAAACAAGTTTATTAACATGTATGGGATGTGCACAGTCAAAGATGAAAGTCTTCGTTTGAGAAGTATCTCCCATTATTCGACAGAAACTTCCCAGTGTCCAAATCGCGTCACCTTTAAATTCTTCGCAATGCAAGTAAACAGAACTGTATGCCCACATCCGAAGTTATCCAGTATCACGAACTGCAAAAATGAATATTCGCAAGGTTATAAGTGAATGAGCGAACTTACCTTCACTTGCTGTCCCATGTAGAATCAATTCCTACAAGTGATTATGCAAATGTATCTGGTCATAAATCGTAAAACATTCGTCAATGTTTTTCGGATGTCTTTGTCCGAATGCGATTACATCTGCTTGCACTGAATTCAACTAACTGACAGACCTCATTACGACTCGACATTCCTAAAAGTGATACAGATTAAATTCACTGACACAAATTAAGCATTTACATGATTAACATGCATGACTTAAGTATTCAACAAATTCAGTTATCCTAGTTTACACTTCTTTTTAAATGTGGAGCACATTAATGGTGCAGAAAATATCATGAATATTATGCATACATAATATTATTAACTGCCAGTAATTGTGCCATAGACTTATACTACAATAAATACATTTGACAATACTTTGTTAGTGGTCTGAGGGACAAAAATATTAAAGCGAAACATATAGGCTAGATCAAAGTTTCACAAAATTGTCTCACTACTATACAATGTCTCATTCGCCGATTTTTCCTCTGCATGTGAACGAAGACACATACTGGTATGTGAAAAAGATTGTCACTGTTAGTAATATATAAGCTCCTCGCCTTTTGAGAGTCTTCTAATGCGTTCGCAGCTTCTTACATATGTGCTGCTTCTGCTCGCACTAATTACCTGCGATAAAATTCTAGAAAAAGGGATCCTTAGCGAAGCACATTATTGTCACAGCTTGTCACAGTTAATTCGCAAAAAAACACAGGATACAAGACTATGTTAGTGAGCAACATCAGCAACTGTAAACAATAGGAGCCCAAACCGAAACGACCCACGAACGCACAGAAGACCTTGTGAAACCAATCAGGTGACTCTGTTGTTTATAAAAGTAATTATGGATGCTCTACACCTTTTGTGTTGTAAATTCGCTCCGGATCTTGTTTTTGATTAATGTTTGGATAACGAACTGATTGCAAGGTCGAAAATTTGTCAGTTCGGAGGTGATATGCGTATACAAAAATACACAAACTGCATTGATGGGTTTGTGCAATGGATATTGGGTATCTGTGACACCACCCTCAGAAAAGGATATATTGAGGTGATTCCTAATCGCAGTGCTGGTGTATTATTGACTATTATCCAGCGCTTAGTGCTGCCCGAGACCAATATTCACACAGTCGAATGGAGTAGTTATGGTCAGTTGTCGAATCTCGGGTATATTCATCATGTAGTCAATCACACAGCCGGTTTTCGCAATCCTTTGAATGGAACTCATACTAATTTCATCGAAAGTTTCTGGAGTCACCTAAAAAAACGGATTGGATTGGTGAATGGATCTAGAAATCCAATGATATACAGTTATCTTAATGAGTTTATGTATAGAACTTGGTTTAGCATGAGTATAAATACACCTATGAGAAATTGGGAGCTTCTTTTGCAACATATACAAGAACTTTATCCATTGTAACTATTTTTTAACATTGTCTTACTTTTATATAAACGATTTTTTACAATTATGCGCCATTTTTTAACCTTCTGATTGGTTGAAGTTGTCCTTAACAAGGTCGTTTGTGCGTTCGTAGGTCGTTTCGGTTTGGGATCCTATTGTTTAGAGTTGCCGAAATATCGAAGTAGAAAATACTGTACGTATAACCACAACTCAAGAAATGCGTTGGGACCCACGGGATCGTAGTCACTGATAACTACCATGGCTACCATGGCTAACCCGTTTCAAGAAAGTTTCTAATGAAAAGAGCTTTGTATCTGTATAAAAAAAACAGTGATACAACGTTAGAATAGTCAAATGTTACATTTGCAGTCATCACAGTTGCTTGCAAACCACGCGTAACACAACCACACAAAGCCGCACACTATAGCACCTACCTTGGACGAATCAAAAATCCAACTGACCGCCACTGTTCTAGCCAATGAAAGACGAGAAAACCTGAAGCGCGGTAAATTTAACACGCGATAACGTTTATCCTCGCCCCTTTCTGGGAATCGTCTTGGCTAGAAAAGTGTACTTTGAAACTGTTTCCCTAGCTCCTGGACCAAGTACCAAATGTAGCGTTAACATCAGAATCGTGATGGAATCCGGTGATGTTACTGGTGATTATATATGAAGTCAGTTAGTAACGCTTCTCCAACGACTTCGAGCTTGCCTACTGCTGGCATCATCCACAATTGTTGTGTGGCGGTCTATCCTGATAAACCCGAGTTTCCGCCACACTATTTGCTGCCTCTCTAGTCTGGCTCACCCGACCTGGTGGACAGGCTGATCACAACACTGCCTCAACTAGTGAAGGGAGAACATAATACTCATGGCTGTTCAAGGGTGTATTTGTCAACTTTTACGAGACAAGCTGATTTCGGCTATGCTGAATCCTGGGTTATAAGGTGACTGTCTTCATATTTCTCGGACAGAAAACGGCATACTATTTTAATCGAAAGGCGCTTGTCTTCGTTGTTAACAGAAAGTGGTGTGCCTAGAGGCTCTGTACTCACTCCATTCCTTCTTTCCTTCCTTTTTGCATTACATTCTGTATTCTCCCAAAGCTAATTTCATTCACTATGCCAATGATTTGACTAGTTCTATCCCACTAGTTTCTGCACTGGATTGTTCTTATATGAATAGACTGTTATCCGAAGTTAACAGATTGTCTCATATAAATGGTCTTAAACTGAATCCATCTAAATGTCATATTACTGATTTTAATTTCAGATGCGAAAAAGACTTGAGTGAACTGATTCAGTCTCATGATTCCTGCAATATTAATGGCAGTGTAATTGGGAGTAAATAGAATAATTTCCATATCGGCATCAGTTTCTCTGTTGGTTGTTTCATATCTTGTTGATTTCCAAGAAAATTTTCCGTTTGACATTAAATAAATAAGGTGAAACTGTTTCGTGCTTTATTTAACTAAATAAGCGTACACATATTCCTAGTACTTCTTCACGTTTATCAATGTGCATAGGCGTTGTGGCTACTCGGCGCCCACAACGTAAAACCAAAAGGCACTTGCGAAGAGTACGATCGTGTATTATTGCAGTATTCAAATTTTCAAAAATTGTGTCGAGGCAATGTTCAACAGTAAATTGACAAATGTTTGCGAAGTACATATGAAATCGGTTTGTGCAAATATATAATATAAGTATGCAAATTAGATTAAGAAGAGTATGTTTGTAGTTGGTATAGGTGTACTACAAGACTTCCTGCTGGCATAACTCTGTAGTGACCCGCTTTATTACTCATCATAGTACTATACTTTCATTATGTAATTGTACTTCGATTTGTTTATTACTCTAAATCTGGCATGTTAACAATTGATACTTTTGCACTCGCTCGATTTTTGAATTTGGATTGCTGCAACAATACACTATCGTATTCCTTCGCAAGTGCCTTTTGAATTACGTTGCGGATGTCGAGTAATCGCAACGTTAGGGCACAATTGTAAACGCGAGGAAGTATTAGGATATGTGTATACGCTAGTTCAATCAAAATTCAGCAGCAACAAATTGGCGAGCCCGACATAGCTGATTGATGGACTACATCATTTCGAAATATACACAGTGGAATAAATCATCTTTGCCATCGCATTAACTTTTATAACTTCATAACATTTGGATGTATAATTACTGATGTTTCTGCTAAAAGTACCTCCGGACCTGGCGGCACAGAGACTGCTATCCCAGTTCACCCTGATACTCAAGCAGCTATAGCAGCTGGCTGTTATGCAACACCTCAATTCCAGTTCTCTGTCCTCAAGCTTCAGCATTGTCTACAGGTGTGCAAACACTCTTACAATGGTCTGCAACTCCATTTACTCAAGCCGGTCCTACAACTGTTCAATTACAACAGTTTACCCAATCACCTCAACAACAACAGATTCAAGCACAAGCTCATCAGTTACAACCAGCTCAACAGCAAACTTATATCCAACAACATCAGCAACAACCAACAATGATGGCAACTGACGTCTCTGTCAGTGGTCAACCTTGTACGGTAGCTGCATGCTCCTATGCTTCTCCCCAGTTTATCATTCTGGCACCAGGAGCTCCATTGAAAGTCATGACTGTTGGTCATAACGGTCAATTGATTCAAACCACTGGTTTACCACAGTTTATGCCAACTGCTTCTGTTGGAATGGCTATCAATCAACCAACTTCTACTCTCCAACCTCAGCAAACATCAATTCAAGTTACTCCTCAACGCCGAGTAACAACACCCCAGCAACAAAAACAACATGCTGACGGACGTTCACTTTCAACCGTATCAACAGCAGCAGCTACTACTGCACTCTTCTCTGGCACAGCCATCTCTTCTTGTACAATTCCACTTGTACAACCAGCTTTCATGGAAATAGAGGTAACTGAATGTTTACCCAGGTCATTTCCATACTACCTTATTACGGTACTATTAACTGTATGTTAAGATATAAATCTATTCTGTAACTCTTTACAATAACAACCCCATTATTATTCTAATAATTTTTCTGGTTTTATTGTTACATTTTGCACAACTTTCTAAACATTTTGGTTCGTTTCGAAGTTGTTAACATTTTCGCATATATACAGTTATATTATCAAACCTCAAAAACTTAAAATCCTCAATTCGGTTTTCATAACAAAAACTCATATATTTTTTCTGTGTCATTGTAATTTACAATATCATTCCGAATACATGTAAACTTCATTTACCTGCATTCTACGGAGGGGCTATTGTAGTGACCCGCTTTATTACTCATCATAGTACTATACTTTCATTATGTAATTGTACTTCGATTTGTTTATTACTCTAAATCTGGCATGTTAACAATTGATACTTTTGCACTCGCTCGATTTTTGAATTTTGATTGCTGCAATAATACACTGTCGTATTCCTTCGCAAGTGCCTTTTTAATTACGTTGGGGACGTCGAGTAATCACAACGTTAGGACACAAATATAAACGCGAAGAAGTACTAAGATATACGTGCATTCTAGTTCAGTCAAAATAGAGCAGCAACAACTCAACCTCCTCTCTTACGATTTATTATTTCATGTCATCTGTCCATTGTTCTTTATCGTTCGCCCTTACTCTCCCCTGGACTTCTCAAAAAAAGACTATATCGTATTACATAGAGCACTGAAGGCTGTAAGTACGGTAAGTGGTACGCCTTTGACTCATGTAACTGACATTACTGTGAATAGGTGCTTCAATCCTTGCAAGCAGCTGAATAGTTACCTTGTATGATACCGAAAATCCTCTTGATTCACAACTTTTTCCTCGTATCTCTTCAAAGGTGAAAACAGAAGGAACATCATAAGAACTTATGCCTGTACGGCTACTAAATATAAAAATTCTACTATACCATATTTAGCAAAGGTTTTGTGTGAAGAGTCAAACGTCAGAAGAGACCCTGTAGACTTTGTCAATCAGTAAATGAATTGAAAAGTTTAAGTTAAGATTATTTTACACGTATTATCTATTAAATTATTCATCCATATCCATTATGTTCCGCTAACTTTCAGATTTTGTGGTTTGATTATTTCTTTTTCATTTTGTTGTATTCATATACTTATAAAAGAAGCTAAATTGTTGCAGTATGTATAAAACTCTGAAAATTTCATTCTGTATGATTGTTATCGTTGTTCAGAATAAAGTGGTTATTATTATTATTACAGGAGAATATAGGGGTACACTGTCACACCACAACGAAGCAACCACGCTGTTGTACCTTGAAAATGCATCAGTTCGAAATAAGGCTTAATCGGCATAGACAAACAAATTAGTCGTTGAAGGTAGAATGGCTCAGATGCAATTGAGATGACTAATTTCATTGATCCCCTACAATTTTAATAATTGAAAAGGCCGCTATAGCATTAGTAGCCAGGGATTATTTGACACAAGAATTTCAATGCTTAAGTAACTCCATGGTTTTCGTTTGTTGTCCAAGAAAGCTCTCCGACTTCGACTGGTCCATTTTCGAACGAGACGTTGACTCATATGTTGTATTGATTTTGTACAGCTATTTACCGCTACAAATGTGTACTCATACACTACAAATAATAATAAGATGACAAATACTAAATTCTCACTATTATATAAGTCTTTGTGTTTTCTTAATCTATGGAACTCAAAATCTTGATGCATAGCCTGTCATTCTTCACGAAAAAGATAGTAAACCAGATATCCAATGTCAACTGAGGGTTCATTTTCGGTAGGGATTTACAAAAATAATCGTGAGTACTGGAAAAAAAGAATACCATAAATGTTATAACTGAAGTTAATTCAAAAGTCATGTCTACATATATTAGTGGCATCAGTTTATGGATCTTTAGAGGACTGGATATGTTGTAGTTAGGTAACAGTTAACCAACCTGAATAAACCTGTGCCCACTCATTAGACTATCCACCTACCTGGCAGTGGTACACAAAACTTCTTGGACATCTGGAGGCAAACTGTCAGTCTATTTAGCTAGTACTTAGGTACTTTTGTACTGTACTACTGTAACAACAGAAGACAAGGGCCAGGCAACAGATCGTTTATTCAGGAAATCAAAGCATATTTATATATATTCATGTACATTATTACAGATTAGTTAAGTAAACAAACACAGTCTTCTGATTGGTTGCTTCTCACTTAAAGTCAATCTTTCATCTCTTTGTGACTGATTCTTGAATGTCAGATCATCTATATGTTAACTGCATCCGCCTACGCAAAGTCTGCTGTGGTCGGTTTTGAATCAGTCTTTGTTCATATTTTCTCACGACAAATCTTGAGAACGTAAACATTGACGTAAATTACTGTCTACCAATTTGGCTAGTAGACAGCTCTCACCACACTACTTCTTTTAGAACTAAGAGCATCTCTGTCATAAGAAGGTGGACTAAAAGTTCATGCAGCTTTCTAGCACTAAAACACAACTGAGGTTAAAATAAGTGGACTCGAATGATACAACTAAACACTAACTAAATAAGCAGACCATTCTCCTCCGGTTACTTAAGGTATTTTACGTTTTATTTTAACATGACTGCATCTGAATAGACTGAACTCCTAATTAACGCTTCCGTTGTGGCCGTTATCATATGAACACTCTGAGATCTGATTTATCACTTTATTGAAAACATTTATTTCCCGATACGAATTTAAAACAAGCAACAAAGGTTAATAAAGAAGGATTGAATGAATTCATCAGATTTCGGTAGAACTCGTCAGCTGAATACTCTACATACACGGATATATATACTTTTGAAATTACATTGGGAGATATAAGATTGATAAGTAAATAAACTACATTGAATTAGTCATGCAGAAAGACAGGTGCGAATGTTTTCCAGGTCTTGTTCAAATAGATAAGGGGAGAGGAAGTATGAGAGATTAAAATTAAGATAACACGCATTACGCTTCAATTACATCACTTAAATAAATAATTAGTCATTAGAGTATATATCAAGAATTGCAAATAGAGTAATATCAATAGTAACAGTTATAATAATAATAATAATGCTGAAGTGAGTTAAGATAATACTGTAACAACAGAAGACAAGGGCCAGGCAACAGGTCGTTTATTAAGGAAAATCAACACATATTTATAGATTTTAATGTACATTATTGTAGATTATTGTTAGTAGAAAATACAGTCTTTTGATTGCTTGTTTCTCACAGAAAGTTAACCTTGCATCTCTTTGTGGCTGTTGACACAGATCATCCATATGCTAACTGTATCCGCCTACGCAAAGCCTTTGTTCTCATTATCTCACCACCAATATTGGGGACATAAATATTGACGTCAATTACTGTCTACCAACTTTGGCTAGCAGCCAGCTTTCACCACAATACTACTGGTAAAAGAAAGTTTTAAATGAATCAAGAAGAAGAAGAGGTAGAATAATAAGTAAAACGTATTACCATGGTAGATTCAGAGTGACGACCATCTTCTTTTGTACACAGAGACCTGGTTTATAAACTCGAATTGCACAAGCCTCTGTAATTGCAAGCATCTTCCTGTTTCTTTGTCTGCTGACAATAGTGAATGACTTGACAGCGTCGATATCATGTCCATAGTCCACAAGATGCTTTGTTATTGAGGTTTTGGCACTTTTTATTCAGCTGTTTTCAACCATTTTGGCAGATGCTCCATCATGAGAGTAGACAATCGTCTTTCTGTAAGACCTATGTATTTGCTTCCATGAACACACTCAAATTGATATACGCAGTTTGAAGTGTCCAGTATAGGCGACTGGTCTTTCCCAGATTGTTGAAGCGCTCACTTGGTTGTGTTAAGGAAAAGGAGTTTTGCAGCATAATAAGTTCTCTTGGTGGCTTTATCGAGTCTTCGTTTGACTACTTCTTGAAGATTATCTCCTCTGAATGGAAAACTGATATAGACAGATTTGGAACTGTTTGGATAGTTTTGCAGGGGCTCATTTCTTCAGAGTATTTATTAATGAACTTATCAGGATATTCATTCTTAGATAAAATATCCTTCAGAGCTTTTATTTCATGCTCAGTTGTACTGTCAGAACAAATTTTTCGTGCTCTATTGAACACTGTTCTGACTAAGTTCTTTTTATACTGGATTGGAACAAAAATCTCTTGAAATTCATGTACTGTCCTGTCCATGAAGACTTTCTACATATAGATCTTTCGATTGTGTTATCAGTCCTTTTCACTAGAAAAACGTCTACGAATTTAATAGTATCATTTTCTTGGTGTTCTGTTGTGAAATTTAGATTTGGGTGGCATGAGTTGAATTTTATCAACATGTCTTCAGCTTTTGATCTGCTTCCACAGACAATAAAAATGTCATCAGCATATCTAAGGCATACATCCGTTTCTTGTATATGTTGCTGCAAGGTGCCAGCTTCTAGGCCTGGCAAGAATAAGTTTACGAAAAGTGATCCCAAGGGACTTCCCATTGCAACACAATCAACTTGACGGAATAGACGCCCATCGAATTGGAACTGGACATTCTTATTACATAAAAGTGATAATTTCCTCAATTCCTGTGTCCTGCTTTATTAACCTTTGTTGCTTGTTTTATCACTTTATAGTTAAATAAGTTGTTAGTCATTCTCCTGAAACCCTGTCGAACAAAAGGTTCTGTATGGTCCAACCAGTCATTGTTGGTAACAACGGATACACAGGCACAGTGGTTATTTTCCTGCGATTTGACATCTGCGACTTATCAGGCACTAATTCAGCACACACCTAGTTTTGACTTTATAAGAAAGAAATGGTGCAGAAAGACTCTCACTGAAAATAATGATCGTATCTTTGTCCTTGTTCAACTGAAAAGTGTAGTCTAATTGCTGCACTAAAGTTAGTGTAACTTTTCTTATGAGAAGAATATCTGATGCACCCAGTGATTCCATTTACTACAGACAAACAGGACAACAACACGAACTGGAATTAAAGCAGCCATTTTTTATTCTGGGGGGGGGATAGAA